AAAAAATCCACATAATCATCTTTTACATGATGGATTTTCCACCTAATATTGAAAATGTAAAATAGTCAATCACTTAGCAAAAAATTAGTTACATCAACATTTAATTGATGGAAAGATGAAATTGAAAATTGAAGTTAAAGGATGTTTTTGGTACTTTTTGAAGTTCAAGGATGAATTGGTTTAAAAATAAAAGTTGAGGGACCAATTCAAATATTTAATCTAAAAAAATATGTTAGCCAGGTTAGCATTACTATTCAATTAATCCTTAAATAGAAAAAGTTAAAAGTTGACATCCTTAAATTAAAAAAAATTGAAAATTGATATCCTTATTTAAAAATTGACAAAGTTAATTAGAAAAAAAATTAAAAATTAACATCTTTATTTAATAATATTTTTAAATAAAAAAAATATAAAGTTAAAATGGTTATTTGCACCTTTACTCCTAGAAAATTGGATAAGGATGGCTGATATTTGTCTCCTTTTTCCTCTTTCTTCTTCCCCCAGCCAATTCGCGTGTTTCTCTTCTTTTTCTTCCCCCTGCAGCTCCTGAAGGCTCCCAGCCAAGCCGACAGCCTCCCATGAAGAGAAACCGGTTGGAAGCTTGAAGATTTCTCCTTCTTTTCTTGTTCTAGAACCCAGAAATCTCTCCCCCTCTGCTGAAACCCCGGATCTGCTTTGCTCTGCTCTGTCCGATTGCTGCTCTTGGCGGTTGTGGGTGCCAATTTCCTTTGAATTTTCGGTAAGCAACAGCCATTAATTTCCTTGTTCTTGCTTGAATTGGCTTGGGTTTACTCTAAATCCTCTTGGTGTCTCCAATTTTGGGTAGACCCGTGAGCTTCTCCTGCACTTGCCGCCGGCCTCTTCCCCCTACCATGTCCGGTTCTGCAGCTGGAAAATTCTGGTAGGTTGGCTTCTCTAATTCTCGAAAATTGGTTGATAAATTGATGCCCCATGTGCTGTCCGAATTTTGCTAAATAGGGAGGAATTCCGGTAGCCTTTGAACATGTTTTAAGCTTGGTTTAAGTGTAAATTAGCTTGATTTAGATTTTTGTGATTTTTGGAGAGAAAATCCCGTGAATCAGCTAGTGTTTTGCCAATTTTGGAAAGAGCAGTTACTGTTCACGGTACTGTTCACACACCGAGGGTCAACAATTAACGGGGATTTAAATGATTAGTTTGTAATATAAGAATGAATTTGGAGATATCTAATAATGTAGAGACGGATAGAAATAGCATCGTGATTAGGGGTGATCCTAATAAAGTTTCACCTTGAATTTGTGATAGTACGGTATTAATTCTTGAGTATTTTGATTAGGTTTTTTATCGTTCTGTCAGTTAGCACTGAGATCGAGTTTTCGGTTTTATGCGAGTGAGGTAAGTAAATTTATGGTAATGCCCGTACGGTTTTTAAAAGTATGTTTTGATTTGTTTTGAAAGTGGTGGTGGGACTACACTCGTTTTACACAAGTATGACTGATCTGAAGTGAAATTTTTATGCTTTTCATTAAATTGAGCATGCCTACTTGAAATTTGATTGATTGTCTTGATGATTTGAAAGTGATTGGTAAATTATGATTTTTTTGTTAATTTCTGCCTGTTTTGTCTCCGATGTGGTTATGTTATTGATAACCCTGTTAGTGGGGGTTAAATGCTAGCACATGTCGACATGTATTTCTGTAGAGCCGGTTCCTCCTGCCAGTGGGAGTTGTTAAACACTGGTATTTCTGTAATCCTGCTAGTGGGATTTTACACTAGTAAATTCTGTAGCCTGTCATCGGGAGGTTTATAACACTGGCCGTGACCTATAGAAGAGACGTCTATTTCGTTTCCGTACTTGTATCCGTTTTTCTGGTTACACTTGTTGGCATGCTATAAGTTTAATTAAGGGCACTTCATGTTTTACTTATTGAGTTATCTCATAGTTTTTCTTGTCCACCATTTCAGGAAGTCAAACCGAGGACGGGGAAACCACGGGAAGTGACTAGTTAGAGGCTAGCCACTTGTAAATTGATATAGATTTTAGAAATAGATCATGATCTTGTAAATTAAAGTGTATTTGGAGATTTATGATACTAGAGCAAATTATAAAATTTGATCTTCAAATGTTGTGGTATCAGATGTGAATTGAATAAGTTTTGAGTCTTGTGCATTTGTGAGACTTTCTCACGAGTGCATGACGTTTGTCGTGCCTCGGATTTGGGTTCTAGGGCGTGACATATATGTTAGGGAGCATTTTCGCTACATTCTTAAGGTTTGAACCATGGAATTGCCAATGATTTTATTGGGAACCTAATCAACACATCTAATGTTTCATGTGCTGATATATCTTCTGCGTTGTATGATGTGTAGTGAAAACAAAAAATTATATTTCAAATGACTTTTGGTAATTTCAAAGTCCATCCTTCCTTGTCAATGTAGGAAATATCCACAAATTTATTGAGTTCTGTAGCACCGAGTTTCTTAGTCCATTGAACACGCATAGCAGTGTTTGCCCCAGGTCCTGTATTTACTGCCTGCACAAACCTCAATCTATTTCTGCAACCATTAAAATTTGTTACGGAACAATAAGGGTAAAATTAGTTCTGATGCGCCTAAATCAACATAATTTAAATGATGGATATTGATTGATATACTTTTTAATTTACCGTACTACATAATATATTTATTAAAAAATTATTATTTTTTAATTTAAAATTAAAAATAAATAAATTAAAAAATATAATTATGTATATAGTATGAAAAAACTAATTAAATTAACTATATTTATATTATGTTTTAATAATTGAATCGAATAAGTGTAAAAAGATATATCAAGTTGGAGAGTTTATCAATCATTTTTTTTATAAGATTAATGGAGCTAAATACGAAGGAATATTAGTGTATATCTTACACGTTACTGGCGCCATACCAAGCATCCCATCCTGAAGGTAATACAAAATCTGAGAGGTTGGACGTGTATATGATCACTCTAGCAAAAGATCCGTAAGCTATCCCAGGTTGTCCTTTCCCAACTCCCCTAAAATTGCAACTTTTGAACACAAAGCCACCGGGATCTTTGGATGAATTCCTGCCCTGTGCTGTTATGACACCGGAAGGAATTTCTTCGGCATATATTCCTATGTTAAGATTTATTTCACATTCCTGCAACAGATAATGGCGTCAAATTAACTTAACTTACAAATCCTTTCATTAATTAATTTCTCAGAATAAGTTAAGAGGCATTGCAACATCTCTTCTTCTTTTTTTAAAAAAGGGGTTCATTTTAGGTTACCTCATACAAAGATTGAGCTGATCCCCAGATGAAGTCCACTCCACCTTTAATATAGCATTTTTTTGTAATAATATCGTCCCAATGTATCCCATATGGTGTCTTGAAGTCCAATAAAACCACAGTTATAGAAAGCTGATTTATCCCCATATACTCAAGCTGAAAAAGCAGGGACGATGCGTGCATTTCCTCGTGGTATATTATATGTATTCTGATAAATCAATTACAAATTTTAAAGAAAAAAATTAAAGCGCACATGAACTAAGACTTCAAAAAGAAAATGAATCTGACAAGCGAGATTCAGTATAAGTCCTACATTATGGGGCTGATATATATTGTCTAGCCAGTTCAGATTAGTTAAAAGAAAATTATTAATATATTTTCTGATTTAATACATATTTTGACACCTATTTTATTTAATCATTAAAATATAATATAACTACAATTGATTCATTTAATTGTTGTAATTTGTATTTATGATTGTATATTTAAATTTATTTTATTTTTAATTTATAATAAAAAAATAATTTTTTAATAATTTATAGTGTGTTAAAATGGATAGTATACCAATTAATACCCTTAATTAAACTTTTTTTCCCATATATTTATATATATGCACACCCATTCGCAAACGCACACACATTACCTTGAATGTAATTCCTGTTGCAACAATGTTTTCAGGATATGAAGCGAAAGTAGCACTAGTATCAGTCTGAGCATGATCATTCCATTCAATACTAGTAATCTGCCTCCCAGCTCCTTGAAGAAAAATGCATGGTTTGTTTTTGGGAATTGTAACTTTCTCTCTAGACCAAGTCCCACTGAATAAAATAAAAATTAGAAGTTTTTTAAACAAAGAAACGAAAAAAAGTTATTAGTTTTAAAATATAATTAACATTAAACATGTATGTGTATGTCTGTGCACGTTGCAAATTTCAGTTAAAAAATGAATAATTTAAATTACAAGTATTTTCCGACCGAAATGGAGACATGAATCCACTCCTGATTATTGGGAAGAATGGAATCAATAGCACTTTGAATGGTTTTGAAGTTGCCCTTGGCGGATTTATCAACAACGATGGTAGATTCAATTTTGTAAGGATCTTGGTGATTTAATTGACAGTCAAATGCTTGACTACATATAGCGAGAGAAAGAGTAAAAACAAATGTCAGTGTCTCAAGATGCTTCATTTTTTTTTTCCTTTGTTTATTTGAATCTCTATGCTTATCCATTAGTGAGTTATTTTATTTATAAAGAGATAAAATAGAGGAATAGGCTAGTATGAAATACATTTCCATTGAGGAGAAGATTACTCAAATCCTGGAATTTGATCAATTTTGCTAACACTTGAGTGTTTTTTTTTTTTTTTTAACAAGTTGTCAAGGGACGGGCTCGAAGCCCGTCCATGAAAAAAGGAGAAATGCACCTCAAGCTACCTAAGTACCAGTTGATCCGAAAGGGTCAAGTGCACTAACACTTGAGTGTTTAGTTATGGTTGGAAGGTAATCTGCATTACAATCCAGCAATACTATTTCTGAAAATCTTGAAAATATTATTCTTAATTAATTATAACGAAACGGACAACAGAGGATTTGGACCTTGGAGTTAATATCCAGAAGTGTGTAGGTAGGAGTTGTATCACAAAGCCACATTAGGGGTATCTCTTTTATCATAGAATATATAATCTCACTTTAATTAATTTGATATCTCAGTCTAACATCTTAAATTAATTTGACAAAAAAAATTATTTTTCTCAAACTAAACATAACTTTTATTAGAATATAAAATTGCAAATATTTAAGAAATAAGTTATATATGATTTTGAAATTTAAATAAAAAAGTGTTACTTACGAGTTTGAAATTATAATTGATTCAAATAATTACAAAGTTATGTATGAGAGTATTATATTTGTTTTTATACCAATGGTGATATAGGGATAATTTTTTTATATTATTTTTTATATAATTTTCATGTGTTATTAAATAAATGAATATATTTAATATTACAAATCTTAAATAAATAAAAAGAATCAATAATTTAAATGACATGTAAAATTGTATAAAAGAATAATACAAAATTTTTTTTCATAAATTATTTTTTATTCTTACACTAAGAGTTTTTTTTTTTTACACTAAGAGTTAATTGCTTGGTATTACATTATTTTAAACTTTCAGGTTGATCTGAAATCAAGATTCTTTTTAGTTAATGGAACTAATTTGGGTAAACACTTGTTAGTCCCATGTGAATATAATTGTTCCAAAATACTACTTTATTAAGGTAGACCTTTTACGTGAATGATCTAAATAACCTAATAATCTCCTATCTCTAAGAAAAGTAGAGTAAGAAGTTTTACATTTAAGTCATAAATATACTGGTGGATTAATAAAGAGAGCTTTACCCATGTAATCTTCCCTGACATAGAGCACCATGTAAGGTGGTTTTCATCTATGTCACGTAGAGCTTCGCACACTGATATGTACAATACTAAAGGTATGTTAGAAGTAGTGATAGGATAAAGTGTAGTTGTTTCGTATTTTTCGACTTAAAATAAAAAAATTAGAAAAAATAAAAACCTTTCATATTTAACATATTTTTACAATCATCAACTAAAACCTACCCATTCTAACCAAAACTAAAAAATAAAAAATGCCAATTATCTAATTTCTTTCACAAAAAAGTATTTTACGATTCAAATTATTTTAAACTATAAAACAAAAACTTTTATATGAAAAATGACTCTAACATTAGAGGCCCTTCATCCAACTAAAAATTTTTATTTTACAATCCAGAATAATTTAAACAGTTAAACAGCAAACTCTTCCCTGATTAAAACCCTATGGTTTCTGTTCATGTCATAAGAACAGAAGATGACTTCCTTTTGAGATGCCAAATGGACGGTTTTGATTGCCTGGTATTCAATTTGTAATTGCAAGCTAGGATGTGTAGAATACAACAAGATTAGATTCAATTAACATTCCAACCAGAGGAGCAATTGCAAGTTAAAATACAATCTCGTTACCTTGATTCAGAGTTAACTGGAAATCGGACTGGTAATTTGATACAATAAGTAATTTTCCAAATAAATGTTGCACGATTGATATCCACTTAAAATCCTAATGCAAAAACTCTTTATAGCCTAGAAACAATTGACGTAGGTGCTGCATCCCCTAAAGTAACTCTAATCGTCTAAATTTGTATCGCAGTACCCAAGCAAAAGATGAGGGGATCAGCTGTCCTAACTGTGACAGTAGCGTATCCTCCCACCTTGGATGAGCATCAAGCAGGCAATTGTAGTTTTCTGTTGTTCTTCCAGCTGCAAAAGTTTAGAACAAAAGGAAAAAAGGATAAGGGTTAGATGAAGAGAAAACTGTGCCTTCTGTGATTTGTATTCCAAAATTTAGGACTTTAACCTGTCAAAGTAGTAGTAGAAGAAGTCAGCATACAGCAATGTCTGACCGAGCCCAGAAATCCAAGCTGCAAAAGTCACGCAACGGAACCAAAATAAGGCTGATCAAACAGAATGATATTATTTCATCGAAAAAGAACACAATAATGGTATGTAAATTCCAATTGAACAGATACAAGTCTTAAAATTTATCTTCATTCCAAAAGACCCAGTTGGTCATAAATTCAATATTTCTCTCCTAATGTCTTCTCGGGTGTGAAAAATTCCACATACCAGAAAGTTGTCCATATCAATTAAGTCCAACCGTTAAACTACCATGTCAGACAAACATTATACCCAAGTGAAAATGTGACGTCAAAACTAACAGACTGTTACAATATTGATGGGACACCAAATAATATGGTTGGGGTAGCATCACTGCTTATCCACTCTATCTAGCTGTAGGACAGAGCAAAACCCAAGGACCAACACCAAGTGAAGAAGAAATTCAGAAAAAATGCAGGCCAAAGGGCTTTCTAAAAGCTTACAAGTCCAGTTGATTTTAATAAACCAAGGCTCCTCTTCCTTTTGGAAAATAATTGCTAGAAAATCATAGGCAACATGACTCAATAACATGTACAAGAGTAAAATGTCTAGAGATAGATAAAGAATACTCTTTTCCAGAAACAACTTACCCTACAAAGGAGGAAGTTGTGTTTTCCAGGAAAGAAATATAATATCCTCTAAGTATTTTACTTCCATGTACATATTAATAAGTTAGCTAAAATTTCCAGGAATTCATTTTCCATGAGCCAAATGGGAGGTAAAGACAGAAATAAATATCATTTTTTTGCTATATCAAAGGAGTGACGCCTAAATTTTTATGATACCATACTTACAACTGCATCATCCTTAACCATCACCACATTTATTTAGTCAATGACAACTTAAATTCTAAAGGTTTCGAAAAGGACACACACAGCAGCCTTTCTCATGCTACAGGCCAATGGTTTTTTTGGTCATTACAAGTTCAAGACCTAAAGCACTGCAGCAACTTATAAGCATAGAACAACTGCAGGCATTTTAATACATGTGCACTTTTTATGTGCACATGTACATCTGTAATTATGATTTGAGAGGATAGAAAGAGACTTACGTATCCAGTGGACAAAGTATGGCTCAGTGAAGTAGCGATAGATCCAGTTAAGAATGTATAATGCTCGGTATGCACTGCATTAAATGAGAAAGAATTTAAGCATATGCAATTTTTTCATTCCTTCTGAGCTTTTGAACTTTATGCAGAAAGCAAATCTGTCCAGAAGGGACAAAAGTACACACACTTAATGTAAAAAACCAAACATAAAAGCACTTCTTTAGAGGCTAGTCAGAAAAATTTTCAACCACAGAATTGGAAATTTCTGAGATGGGTGACATTAAGGAAATGAAGATATACAGTGAGGAAGAGAGCTGGCAAAATTTCATACCGCATATTGCCAATTTTGTACTTTCAGCAAGACAAAAAAAGGTAGTACAAAACCACAGACCATTTACTCTTTAATTCTTCCACACATTAAGCAAGTGTGGGGAGAAAAGAACAATGATCAATATTTTTTACGTGTATAGAATCAAATGTAAACAATAGCCTTATCCATACTGAGATGAAAATTTCCAGAGATTTTTGTAAAAGACCACTTAAATAGTCTTTTTTGGTAGTTACCCTCCATCTCAAACAGAAATTTTATATTTCAGAATCATTTGTTCAACAAAGTTTTTTTTTTTTTGATAAAAATTACTTTTTCATTCTTTCCCTAAAAAGAAAGGGCAACAAAAGATTGCTGACAAGGCAATATGAATCATGTAATTCAAATCACTAGAGAAACTGCCATCTAATTAATTCATAAATTTTAGACCTTGATATGCAGAGAGGCAAATATTTGCTAAACATAATCTCTAAATGTAATAATCTGTTCTACAAAAGGAAGGACATAATAAAACATTTTATGAAAGGACATAATAAAACATTTTACGCGTGCAATCTAAATGTTGTTGAAGAGACTCCACTAGACAGGGGTGGATGGTATTGCACATTGGTAATCAAACAGTGCCCATGTCTGATCTCACTCAAAGCTCAAACATAAGATAAGTAGAAAATCAATTCAAACAACAAATGCACAGACTAAGATAAACAAATTGAAGCAGAGGGTCTAAGAGGATATTAGTTAAAGAATACTGAGAAAGTAAACAATTAGCATACCCAAGAAGAAATATGTACTGCCCTGTCAGGTTGTCTATGTTTCTAGTCCTTTGTAAGAGTACAAGCTGGGGAAGTATGGCAACAGCTTCTAAATACAAAGAAAATGTCCACATTACCTGAACCGTATAAGACAAAAAAACCACCTTACCAATTAACATCAAGAAATACATAAAAGGTTTACCATCTCCAAGTTATAGTCTTGGAAGGCAAACAATATAGAAATAAATAACAATCAGAAGTGCCTACAAACATACCTCCTTAAAGGTGAACTTCTCGTTTATAAGAAGGGCCAAAAGTATGCAAGGCAATACAAGGAAATAGTGGCGGAAGGTGTCTTGATCTTTGTCATAAGACCTTCGGACAATCTTGTGGTGCCTCATGTACCAAACAATTGAAAATGAACTCCCCAAGAATATCAGCTTCATGCTGGTGTTGTACACTGATATAAAATCAGTAAAAATGTCCAAATAACGAGTAGCAAAAACGATGGCATAGAGTTCTTGTGTCTTCAGAGAAATGCCTGCAAGTGACGCATCGCATCAAAAGCCAAACACTGCAGAGCATGTAACAAAATCATAGAACCCCCAATTGTATTGTCTAAAACTGCAACATACTAGACAATAAAAAGAAGGAAAGTTCCACGCGCAACACTAAATACAGAGAGAAAAACTCTATAACATATTCTAATTATTTTTAGAAGAGAAAAATTTTCAACTGATACTATCACAGCATAAGCAGATCTTGATGGTTCAAGTTCTCTCCAACTTCTTCCTCTCTCCCTCTCTTTCCTTCATTTCCCTAAAGTCGCCTCCACGAGCCTCCTCCTAATCAGATCTAGCATCTTCTTCCTATTTTTCCACTGAAAATTCCGGAGAAAACCTAGATAGTTGCAAAAAGAAGCTGAAATCCGATTTCACAAACACCAACACGATCTATCGGAAAATTGAATCTCCAGCACTCAGCATTCATATTATTCGAGAGAACGAAACATTTAACAATCAGAGGCAAAACACCGGAAGTAGAAATGAAAAATGAAAGAGAAGACGGAGGCGGAAAGATGATAGGAGTACCAGCGCAGGACTTGATGGTGTGGATCTTGAGGAGCAAGACGAGAATGCTGGCGAGGTGAGTCATGTCGCCGGCTAATCGGAAGATATTCATTTTGGCTTCGAATCAGAAAAGACGAGCATACAATTTGTTGACAATTCCGATCTGCGATGAGTGTTAACAGGGTTTCAACTTTCAATTAAAGATTTAGGATATAGATTGATTGACCTATTCCGACAGTCTCCAGAATAATGGTCGAGTGAATTGCAGTCCGTACAGAGCCACGACGTCTGTACGGACTGCAATGCACCTTTTTTATTTAAAAATATTAAAAATTTCAAATTTTATTGTTGATGCATTTTACTTCATAAAAAATTAAGAAATATTATTTTAAGAAAAATTTAAAAATTCTTTGTTGGAGATCCATTTTTTACATGTATATGAAACCGCATAATTTGATTTATAAAATTAATAAATGATTTTTAATAAAATAATAATAATAAATAATTTTATCAAAATTATTTTAATGAATTTATATATTAAATTATATTTTTAATATATAATTTGATTTGTAAAATATTATTTTTTTGTTTTTTTATAATCTATATATATATAAAATGCTACCCTATGCATTAAATAGGGTAGCATTTTACATTTACACCCCCCAACACTAGCCCACTCCATTTTCTTACATCTTCAACAGTTATTTCTTTAGCAATAATGCCCACTCCATTTTCTTACATCTTCAACAGTTATTTCTTTAGCAAT